TCCCGGAAAGGTCGTGCCAGGGCTCGGGGATCCTCTCGTCGTGGTAGGCCTCTGGTGTCAGGTTTGGGGTTGGCTCCTCCTGCGGACCCTCCCTCGTCTGGCCGGCGCGGTGTTCGCGCTGTGTGGGGTTCTGGGTCTCGTAAGGGTCGCCGGCCTTTTCGCGGTTTGCCCCCTTGACGGGGCGATGGGGGGGCGGCTTGCGCTATTCGCCCGTGCCTGGTCCCACGATTCGTGGGCCTTTCGGGTCGTGTCTCACGGCCTGCGGTGGCGTTGGGTGGCCCCTCCCCCCTTTGGGGGGTCGGGGCTGGTGGGGCAGGTTTCTTCCCCTGCGCTCTGTCGAGTCGTCTTGGAGTGGGTACGCTTGGGCGTCGTCGAAACGACGTCATCCCTCAGATGGGTTTCCCGTCTGTTTCCGGTTCCGAAACGGGACTGCGCGGACCTGCGGTTCATTCTGGACTTGTCCCGTCTGAACCCCTGGGTTCATTGCCCCTCCTTTCGGATGACTACGCTGTCTCAGGTTCGGCTCCTCTTGGAGCCAGGAGCTTGGATGGTGTCCCTGGACCTCCGGGACGCTTATTGGCATGTCCCGATTCATCCGCGGTTCAGGGACTGGCTCGGTTTTGTTGTGGGGCGCCTGTGTTACCGCTTTCGTTGTCTCCCGTTCGGGTTGAACCTGGCACCTCGCGTGTTCACACGCCTTACACGGGTTGTGGTGGCTCGTTTGCGTCTCCTAGGTGTTCGGGTGTTGGCCTACCTCGACGACTGGCTGGTTTGGGCTCCCAGCCAGTCAGCTTGCTTGCTAGCCAGGGATTTGGTTCTTTCCCAGCTCGCCGAGTTCGGGTTCTTGGTGAACTGGAGGAAGTCCCATCTGGTTCCCTCTCAGGTTCGGACTTGGCTGGGTCTCGTTTGGGACTCTCGAACCGCCTCCTTGTCTCTCCTGACTGGGAGCTCAAACCAGCCAGTCGTCGAGGTAGGCCAACACCCGAACTCCTAACAGACGCAGACGGGCCACGACGACTCCGCGTAAGACGTGTGAACATGTGAGGTGCCAGGTTCAACCCGAATGAGCGACAACGAAGCGGTAACCTTGATGCCCAACAACAAAACTCAGCCAGTCCCTGAACACCTGGATGAATTGGGACGTGCCAATAAGTGTCCCGAAGGTCCAGGGACACCATCCAAGAACCCGGCTCCAACAGGAACTGAACTTGAGACAGTGTAGTCATCCGAAAGGAGGGGCAATGAACCCAGGAGTTCAGATGGGACAAGTCCAGAATGGACCTCAGGTTCGCACAGTCCCGTTTCAGCACTGGAAACAGACGGGGAAACCCATCTGAGGGACGACGTAGTTTCGACGACGCCCAAGCGAACCCACTCCAAGACGACTCGACGGAGCGCAGAAGAGGCCTGCCCTGCCAGCCCCGAACCCCCCGCAGGGAGAGGGGCCACCCCAATGCCACCGCAGGCTGAAGGAAACGACCCAAAACGCCCACAAATCGTGGGACCAGGCGCGAGTGAACAGCACAAGCTTCCCCCCCATCGCCCTGTCAACAAGGGGAACCGGACAGGGCCAGCGCCCCTTACGAGACCCAGAACCCCTCACAGGGCGAACACCACGCCGACCAGACGAAGGCGAGCAATAAGGCGGAGCCGAGCCCGAAACTGGCACCCGTGGCCTATTACGACAAGCAAAACCCCGAGCCCTGGTACGACCCCTCTGTGAAGGCCCCCCCCCCCCCCTCGGGGCCCCCAGAGAACCAGCAAGTCAGATATAGGTCGGCAACTGGCCGAAGCACCCTGAATATACTGCGCCACAGCCGAAGGAGCAAAAAGCAGTGAACAAAAGGGCGAAGTCATCCTAAGAGCCAGGGCCCACGCTGATTCCAAAGCGGATGCAAGCACCTCCAGCCGACATGCAAACCGGGATGCGTAAAACAGGGAAAACTGCATCCCGCAAGATCGGCGCAAACAGCTTCAACAAGGCAGCCGACGAGAGAGTCGCCGAGCCCAAGGCGTCGAATCCCGGAACAACCCCATGCATCCCCACATCCACCTCGAGCCAGTCCGAAGAAAGCTCCAGGAGGGAAAAGAAACGTAAGGCCGAAGCCAAAAGGCCCAGAGCACGCAAGTCCTTGGCAACCAGCAAAGCCGAAATGGAGGGGACCAGCACATGGAGCTGCATAACACCAACATCCCGGAGTAGGGCAGGGGCAAACTATCTCTCATTGAGGTGCTCAAGGTTGCCCCCAGGAAAACCTGAACCACTGTAGATGCCTCGCACCACTCAAGCATGCGGGAATGACAGAAGGAATGCCAAGCATACAAAGCAAACACAGGACAGTCCGCCAGCCAGGACGACTCTGGAACCTCATAATGGACACAAAGGGAATGAAGCCCCAAACCTGAGAGATGACGGATCCATCACCGAGGCATAATCCGGGTCACATAGGATGTTAGCCGCCAGGGCTGCCCGCACCGCAGATGGCTGGAAACAGGAAGCTGAAAACCACCAGAAGGACGGAACTGACGCACCCTGGGGAACACGGAACCGAACCCGGGAAGGGGCAGACACCAAATCCAACTCGTACGCAGAGGGGAGGAAAGAGAACCCCACTCCTTGTAACAACAAGCCCCGTTCAGGGGGCATAAAAACCCAGGCGGGGTCCAGCGGGGTCCAAGGCCCCCAAGTCAGTCCCTCCCCAGCCCCCAGGATCCTCCTCCACAGGACCCGGGGTCAAGTCATCCCCCAAAGCACCAGACCCTAAAGAAAAGGCCGGCGCAGCCAAGTAAGCCAGACAGAAGGGGGGCCCACTGGTCAGACCCAGAGGCTTCAGCAGGGAGATCAAACTCGAATGCCTCCGTCGCCACACCAGAAGGGGCATCCCCTGAAACTGCCTGAGACTGCCTGAGTCTCAAGACCATCTAAACCCTGCCCTGACTCCGTAACCCTCAGATGTTCAGGGCCGGAAGCACGGGGGGTGGGGGGGGGGCAGAACAAACCACAACAAGGGAAGGACGAGGGGGCGTGGACTGAACCAAGGTCGAAGCGACCCCCACCCCCAAGTCCGGGTCCCTATTGGCAAAACGGGGCAGCCTTGGGGCATTCGGGTGACCAACCAACCTAGCTCATTACAATAACCTAAAATGCCCGTGCAACGCCTGCGTTGCCTATACCCGTAGAATATCATCATCGTACTGAGTAAAATGAGTCACAAGCAAGCAACAGTACTAGCAGGACTCTGGGTTGAAAGCGTCACTGACCCAACAGGCAGCGTGACAGAGGCAAAAAACGTGAAGGTCATCCTGAGACAAGGGGGACTGAGCAACACTCGAACTTGCACGAAGCGAGGGGGGTAATTCGGAGACATATCCATTGGACCCACGTGACCCCAGGGGTTTCCCAGGGTCCTGAGCATTTACCAACAGGGACTCACGCTCAGGTAATCCCAGGCAGGGTACTGCTAACCGGCGCCAAAAATTACCAATCAACACTAAAGCTGAACCACAGGGACGTGTATACTCATGGGGACCTAGCAGGAGGCACGACCAGAAGAACCGTGCAAAGGTCAGGCACAATAAGGGGTAAGCACGGCAGATCCCCCCACAAGGCAAGAACAAAAAGAAAAACAAAACCCCGGAAGAGGACAACGTACCCCAAGGAACAGAGTCGGCCGCTGTGATTGGTGACAACTAACTGCTCAGCACCCTGCGCCCCGTACTAGTGCAAACTGCCTCTTACCGAAACATAAACAAGGATGACAAAACCCCCAAGAACCCAAAGGACAGCTGAAAAACCAAGCAGTAATACGGCCAGCAGAGGCAGGCCCTGAGGAACTTGTGGAAGGAGGCCCCAAGGGCAGTACTTACAGAGCACCTAGGGACGATAACCCTAGGCATATGCAGCCCGAGTACTGTAGAATAACTCCTGGCTCTCGCACCCCTGGAAGACTGCCACCACACTCAAAGCACAGTGCTGGAAATGCTGGAGCCAAGCACACAACCTCTGCCTCTAGCATCAGCCTGAGAACTGAAGGGTGGATAGCCGGCGTGAAGGGTCTGGGGCTCCCCCTTTCCCCTCCCGGGGAGGGGGGGATCTGCGCAGACAGCAGCGCGGCTACGTGTGACGTCATGCTCGTTTGCTCGTTTTTGGGGGGGAGTTCTATTCACTTGTTTGGCTTTTGGTAGCAATTTTCACCAAAATAGGGGTTTATTTTGGGACGCTTACCTTTCTGGGTGCCTGACCCAGTTGATGGCAGACACAGAATGCTTCCAACCACACGGAGGTTTCTATATGCCATTGTTCCCTTTGCCTCTTCTGAGGGTGCCAGGTTCTGGCCATGGTCCCTGGTAGGCCCACAGAACTCCATACACATAACTGATGCCAAAGTCTGACATTAGCATATCAGCCTAGTAAGCTCCAGGGAGCCGAAGGGGCTCCCCCTACAAAATTGGTAAGTGTTTGTGCAAATTTTAAAAACTTATGTTAAATTATTTTATGTCAAATCATAAATGTATGTATTGCATGGTCTAAGGGGTAATAGCTGGTAACTCCTCGTGTGCTGGAAAAAATCTAATATTGTTAAAATGGGTTCCCTGGTCAATCTCCGGTGCAGTGAATGCATTGGAGGTTTTCACATCAGATACCAATGGCCTCCTCTTTGTCTGTCTTAGGCCCTTATCATTGGAGACACCTAACTTCTTGTTTTCACATGAACATCAACCTATTGTGCCACACATTCCTACATCTGCTTCACTACTTCTGTCATTGAGGCTATAAATATTTCCTCGTGGCAACAGACAGTTCTATCAATTCACACTAACCTTGGCTCCATCTCAAATAAGTTAAGATCCAGAAACTAACCCACTACCTACAGCAACAATCAAGACACATGCAGCCTTGACAATTCCTCATGACCCACTGACCATTACTTATTACCTACTAAACCACAATAAAGCTTTCATGTAAGCCTTAACACATTTAACACTCAATTATTTCTTACCTTAATGTTAGCTCCAAATATAGATGACATGTCTTGTGGAACTTGGAGTTTAGTCATCATCTCTATCAATTCTTCTTCACCGACTAATTCTGCTATGTGGCGGACAGCCTATAAGAATTTATATAGATTTTGTTATAATATTTATTACATAAAAATATTCAATTATTTCTGCACAATAATAAGTTAAACAGAATTCGAAAAAAAAACAGCGTTGAATGTAATGAAACACCATTTTCTGGGCGAGTCCCAGAGGCTCCCTGGAGCTTACTAGGCTGATATGTTAATGTCAGACTTTGGCATCAGTCATGTGTATGGAGGTCTTATGGACCTACCGGGGACCACGAGCCAGAACCTGGCCCCCTCTAGAGAGGCAAGGGAAGCAATGGCCTATAGAAACCCCCATGTAATTGGAAGCATTCTATGTCTGCCATCGACCGGGTTAGGCACCCAGAAAGGTAGGCGTCCCAAAACAAACCCCTATTCTGGTGAAAATTGCAACCAAAAGTCTTACTAGTGAACGACAGAACTCCCCAAACAAAAATGAGGAAACTAGTATGACATCATCCGTCGTCGCACCGCTGTCTGCGCAGCCCCAGACCTACCGCGCTGGCGATCCACACTCCAGTTCTGAGGCTGGATGTCAAAAAGTCATGCGAGAAAAACGCCGACCGGAGGGAGGGAAGGATGCCGGGGAGCCTCCGGGACTCACCCAGAAAATGGCATTTCATTACATTCAACGCTGGTTTTCTGGGGAAAGCCCCTACGGATCCCCGGAGCTAACTACCCACAGAGGAAAAGAATAGGGACTTACCCGGGAGGTGGTTGCCGCTCACTCCTCAACCCGAAGTCGAAACAACTGGCTGCATCCGCCAACCCAAAGCGACATAGGCTCGACCGGGCCCAGGAACGTTTACGAGGTAACGAGCAGCCAGGACCCTGTTCGACTGCCAAAATCCCCGCGCCCAAATGTCAGCCCAAAACATGTTGCCAAAGACAGCGGCAAGAGCCGCGAACTTGCGGACGTCATGGGCACAGGGATAGATCGCAGGCTGGCTAGCTTTAATAACCCTGCGGACGACCTGGGAGACCTGCACCCTCGAACAAGGAAGAAGGGAAACTGGATCAACCCAAAGCGCATCCACGGACACAGAAGCCGTGGCACGCAAATAACGGCGGAGAGCTGCAACCGGACACAAAACATGATGCACCCCCGGCCGAACCAACCAAGCATCAACAACCCAAGGGCCCCTCCGGAATGCAGCAGTCTCATTCTTCGCCAGAAAAGAAGGAGAAGACCGCAGATGAACAAACCGATCACCTCGACCGAAGGAGCAGAAACCTCTGCGCCGGAGGAGAGCACAAAGCTCACCCACCCGATCCCCAGAGGCCAATGCCAACAGGAAAAGAGCCTTCAAAAAACAATCCGGAACCGATGGGGCCACAACAAAATGAGGAGAAGAAAGAAAAGAGAGCACTTTGTCCAAAGACCAGGATGGCTCTGGCGGCGCATGAGCAGGCCGGAGGTGAAACAACGCCCGAGACAGCTTGCGAAACAGTGCAGACGTGACATCAAAATCAAAAGCAAGCTGAAGCGGCTCCGCCAGCGCCGCACAATACGAGGCAACAGTGTTAGGCATAAGAAGACGGTCCTGGAACAACCAAGAGAGAAAGAACACCACCACCCTAACAGAAAGCGAAGTACAACAACGAAGACGTAAGAAAAACCAGAACCGAAAAAATAAGGACCGCCAGGAAACTTCATACTGCCGCCGAGACGAAGCCCGCAGGTTGGATGGACACTAATAAGGAAGCCACCTGAGCACCATAGAAATTATGATAAACTCGAGTCAAAAATACCTTACGTGAAGACTCGAGGAGGAGATCAAACCAGCCATGTGACGTACCGGGCTGATCTGCTGGAAGAGGCGGAGCTGCGGAAAAACCTCCGGGTTCGGACGCCGAGCAAGCAGCGCCTGAAACCATGGCTGGGCCGGCCACCACGGAGCCAAGAGGACAACTCTCCCCTGGTAAGTCTCCAAGCGAGTCAGGACGCAAAGCAACAGTGGAACTGGGAAAAAGAGGTACAGGAACCCCCACCTCGACCAGTCCTGACGGAAGGCATTGACCCCGACGGCCTCGCAGTCGGGGAAGGGCACCACATACAGGGAAAGGTGCCACAACCAATCTGAAGCGAAGAGGTCCACCTTGGGGCACCCAAACGTCTGGCAAAGCCAACAGAAGGAGTCGGCATCGACCGTCCATTCCGTGGAAGGGAACGAAACGAGACAGGCCATCGGCCAAGACGTTGGACACTCCCCGCAAGTGAACTGCCTGGAGAGCCAAACCCTGAGAACTCAGCTGACAAGTCACCCAAAGCGACCGGCACCAAAGAGCCAAGGACTGCAACAAACCCCCCTGGTTCAGACAATGAACCACCGAGAAGCAGTCCGAATGGAGCCGGATCGTCGACCCGTGGGCGACTTGAAGCCTCTGAAGAGCAAACCACACTGCCGCGAACTCCCGCACAGTGCTGTGGGCTCGACAGAAGGACGAACCCAACCGTCCCTGGCCGGCTAGGTAAGCACTGGTCACAAAGCCCCAGCCGAGAGATGACGTGTCCATGAACACATCGAGCGAGGTCTCGGGCTAAGCGCCAAGGCACCGAACCCCGAAAAACCCGAAGAGGAAGCCGGTGACGCAGCAATCGACGCAAAGCCCACGAGGTCCAAACCCAGGGATCGCGAGAGAGGCAGAAGGGACGTACCCAAAGGAATCAGAACAGGCAACGAAGCCAAACCCGACCCGGAGGGTAGACCAGCGTCGCAACGTTCAGGCTCCTGCACATACTCTCGGTCAACTGACGGATGACCCGGGAGCCCCCAGAAATAGGAGCATGCTGGAACGCAGTCGCAGGAGAGACTCCAGAGGAAGAGACAAGGAGCGGTCTGAGAGTCCCACACAAGGCCCAGACAGGTCCGAACCTGGGAGGGAACCAGATGGGACTTCCTCCAGTCCACCAAGAACCCGAACCCGGTGAGCTGAGAAAGAACCAAATCCCTGGCCAGCAGACAAATCCCTGGTTTGGGCTGGAAGCCCAAAGCAGCCAGTTGTCGAGGTAGGCCAACACCCGAACACCTAATAGACGCAGATGGGCCACCACGACCCGCATGAGGCGTTTGAAGACGCGAGGTGCCAGGTTCAACCCAAACGAGAGACTATGAAAGAGGTAAGCACGAAGCCCCACAACAAAACCGAGACAGTCCCTGAACCCCGATGAATCGGGACGTGCCAATAAGCGTCCCGGAGGTCCAGGAACACCATCCAAGCGCCCGGCCCCAATAGGAGCCGAACCTGGGACAGAGTAGTCATCCAAAAGGAGGGGCAATAAACCCAGGGGTATAGACAGGGACAAGTCCAAAATGAACCGCAGGTTCGCGCAGTCCTATTTCGGGACCAGAAACAGACGGGAAACCCATCTGAGGGACGTCGTCGTTTCGAAGACACCCAAGCGAACCCACTCCAAGATGACCCGACAGAGCGCAGGGATAGAAGCCTGCCCCGCCAACCCCAAACCTCCCGAAGGAGGGGGGGCCACCCAATACCACTGGAGGCCGCACAAAACGACCCGAAATGCTCACGAATCATCGGACCAGGCGTGAGCGAACAGCTCAAGTCTTCCCATCATCGCCCCATTAATGGGGCAAACCTCGAAAGGGCTGATGCCCCTAACGAGACCCAGAACCTCGCACAGAGCGAACACCGCGCCGACCAGATGAAGGTGGGTCCGAAGGAGGAGCTGAACACAAACCCGACACCAGTGTTCTACCACGACGAGAGGATCTTGGTTATCTTGAGTTACCCCGAGGAACCCCGAGCCTTGGCACGACCCTTCCAGGAAGGCCCACAACGGAACCCCGGATAACCAGCAAGTCCGACATAGGACAGCAAGAAGCCAAAGCAGCCTGAATATACTGCGCAACAACTGAAGCCTCAAACAGGAGGCTTCAGTTGTTGAAGGGCGAAGACATTTTAAGAGCCAAGGCCCAAGCAGATTCCACAGAGGCAAGCTCCGTCTGCCGACACTCGAGCCATGAAGCATAAAACAGAGCGACCGCATCCCACAAGATCGGCATGAAAAGCTTCAGCAAGGCAGCCTACGAGTGAGCCGCTGAGGTCAAGGTGCCAGAACCAGGAACAGCCCCAAGCGCCTCCTCATCCTCCATGAGCCAATCCAAAGACAGCTCTAGGAGGGAAAAGAAATGCAAGACTGAAGCCAAAAGACCCTGGGCGCGCAAGTTTTGAGCCACCTGCCCCGCTGAAAGGGAGGGAACTTGCACATGGAGCTGAACGACACCAACATCCTATGGAAGGGCAGGAGCAAGCAAGCACTCATTAGGTCGCACAAAGCAGCTGGCCCAGATGGCGTTTCACCATGGGTTCTGAGAGAATGTGCATCTGAGCTCAGCATTCCACTTCACCTGATCTTTCAGGCATCCCTGTGTACAGGAATCGTAGCAGACGTGTGGAAACAGGCTAACATAGTTCCAATCTACAAAAGTGGCAGCAGGGAAGACCCCCTCAATTATAGACCTGTATCATTGACAAGTGTAATAGTGAAAGTATTGGAAAAGCTAATCAAAACTAAATGGGTAGAACACCTGGAGAGAAATGATATAATATCAGACAGACAGTATGGTTTTCGATCAGGAAGATCCTGTGTATCGAATTTACTCAGTTTCTATGATCGGGCCACAGAGATATTACAGGAAAGAGATGGCTGGGTTGACTGCATCTATCTGGACCTAAAAAAGGCTTTCGACAGAGTTCCACATAAGAGGTTGTTCTGGAAACTGGAAAATATTGGAGGGGTGACAGGTAAGCTTCTATCATGGATGAAAAATTTTCTGACTGATAGAAAAATGAGGGCAGTAATCAGAGGCAATGTATCGGAATGGAGAAATGTCACAAGTGGAGTACCACAGGGTTCAGTTCTTGCACCAGTGATGTTTATTGTGTACATAAATGATCTACCAGTTGGTATACAGAATTATATGAACATGTTTGCTGATGATGCTAAGATAATAGGAAGGATAAGAAATTTAGATGAT